TCGTTCTGTTGCCCAGGCTAATAGAGTGCGGTAGTGTGATCATAGCTAACTGCAGCCTCGAACTCCTGGATTTAAGGGGTCATCCCACCTCAGCCTCCCTAGTAGCTGGGACTACAGGCATGTGCACCACACATGGCTAATGTTTTAATTTTTTGTAGAGATAGGGTCTCACTGTGTTGCCCAGGCTGGTCTCAAACTCCTGGCCTCAAGTGATCCTCCTGCCCTGGTCTCCCAAAGTGCTGATATTACAGGTGTAAGCCACCATGCCTGGGCTCCTTTATAATATTTTATGGCAGACTATGAACCTAATGGGTACTCAAAAGCTGCCAAGTTTAATTCTTATAGATTAAATGAGCCTTGATTCTTCTCCTTCCTGTAGAACTGAACTGATATCACTTCATCCACCATGAAAACTAGAATATGTACACTGCTACTGAAAATAATGTGGAATACAGCCAAAGGCATGAGATTTCCTTCTTCAAGTTGAAAGTGTGTTCAGGGAGACCACATGGCCAGTCAAATACTTGTTTTCCCAAACTTCTCTGCAGCTAGAGATAACCATCTGGCTTAGTTCTGGTCAGTTCTTATTAAAGTCTACTAGGTGGCAACGTGGGTAAGGGGGTAAGGGTTGATAATGTCTGGGGAAATTTATCATAAAAGAGGAGGCTGGTCATAGTAACTCACACCTGTAATCCCAGCACTTTGGGAGGCTGAGGCTGGTGGATCATCTGAGTTCAGGAGTTCGAGATCAGCCTGGCTAACATGGTGAAACCCCATCTTTACTAAAAGTACAAAATTTAGCTAGGCGTGGTGGTACACGCCTATCCCAGCTACTTGGGAGGCTGAAGCATGAGAATTGCTTGAACTCAGGAAGTCGAGGCTGCAGTGAGCAGAGATCCTGCCACTGCATCCCAGCTTGGGCGACACAGTGAGACTTCATCTCAGGGAGAAAAAAAAAAAAAAAAAAGCATGAGGGGGAGGACAGAGTTGCCAATACAGTCCCTTCCTCCCTCCTTGAATGCAACCATGTAGCTGTGGCTATATAATGTTGTCCTGTAGCTACAAGGTCTCAAACATGAGAGAAAAGACAAAACTACTTTTAAAAAACCACCAACTCCAATATTACTGAACTGCTGAACTAAAGCAAGATGCTGCATACCTCCAGATGTCTTTTTGGAGAAAAATAAACCCCTATTTGTTTAGGCCACTGTGTTAGGTCTTTGTGACGTTTAGCCAAAGCACTACTGACGTAGATGCCATATCATTGCAAAGCAATAAGAAAAATCAATGGGAATGCACTCCATTTTGTTTTACATATTAGTTCTTAATTTTGCCCACATATAAAAGAACCACAGATTGTTATTAACTGTATAATCAGAAGACATTTCTTAGACACATTTTAAAAACCTTTTTTAAAAAAATCCTTGCCAGCAGTAAGTCAGTAAAAAAAAAAAATTTTAACATTAATAAGGTTCCAGAATAGTCTTGTCCTTGTATCTACCAGGCAGAGAACCAACCTGAAATTTGACAGGCCCACTTAAGTACCTCACACATGAGAAGAAATCAGGTTTACAAGTTTAAAACAGCAACAGCTTTACACTATGTTTCAAATCTTCCTGAACAGAGCTTGGTCCCTTCTGTAAAACACAGGAAGTGCAACCCGACATCCTTTCTAATCCTAAAATCACAAGCTACCTCCTTAACATACAGGCAGGGTTTCCAAATGTTAAAAACAAAACAAAACTAAACTAAACTAAACTAAAAAGCCAAATTGTGACAATAAATGGCTTTTCGCCAAGTATTTTATACGTTAGAGATATTCACAAAGTCACATTTCACTTTTGAAAGCAGCTAGGCAATTATTTCATTCAACATAGAAAAAGGATTTGATAAGACTGAACAATTTATAATTTAAAAACTCTTGGTCAGGCATGGTGACTCATACTTGTAATCCCAGTACCTTCAGAGGCTGAAGAAAGAGGCTTGTTTAAACCCAGGAGTTTGAGACACGCCTGGGCAAACACAGCAAGACCCTGTCTCTACCAAAAAGCCCCCACAAAACTCAACAGCAAACTAGGATTAGAATGGAATGTCATTGATTTGATAAAAATCACTGACCCCCCAAAAAACAGCAATCAAAACAATTAAAAAAACCCCTAACCTTCTGCAAATATTACACTAAATGAAATTTTCTTTTCATTTACTTATTCTCCAATGCTAAAACAGGAAAAAATGAAATAAAACAAATGGAGAGAACTTCCACAATCATTTAAGATTAGAAACAAGACAAGGTTGTGCATTATTACTACTATGTAACATAATACGTGAAAGTCATGGCCACTGCTTTAAGGAAAGAAAAAGGTGTAAGATGTGAGAGAGCCAACCATCATTATTGCATTATTATTATTTTTTGTTGTTGTTGTTTACAACTTTTCTGTATGTCAAATTATTTCAAAAAATAAAAAGTTTAATAACGCCTGTAATCCCAACATTTTGGGAGGTTGAGGTGGGCGGATCACTGGAGGTCACGAGTTCTAGACCAGCCTGGCCAACATGGTGAAACCCCGTCTCTACTAAAAATACAAAAATTAGCAGGGTGTGGTGGTATATGCCTGTAATCCCAGCTACTTGAGAGGCTGAGGCAGGAGAATAGCTTGAAACCGGGAGGCACATGTTGCACTCCAGCCTGGGTGACAGAGTGAGACTCTGTCTCAA